TGTTATATTCCTGCTATGAGAGAAACCATCTGGTATTTTTCCTTTTCTTTCTGGCTTATTTCACGAAGCATGATCTTCTCCAGTTTCATCCGTGTTGCTGCAAAAGACATGTGTTTCTTTTTTTTGGTTACTGAGTAATATTCCATTGTGTATGTGTACCACATCTTTTTAATCCAGTCTTCCATTTTTGGGCATTTGGGCTGTGAAACAATTTTTTAAGTTGCAAATATTATAGTATAGCTTTGGGAACAAAATTCTCAAACGAAATTTTATGACATTTAATGATGCTCAAGAATCTAGCTCAGGATCTGTTATCTTAATTTCCCATCTAAAACCTCTCCTTTCTTTCCCTTCCAACTAACTACCCTTTAAAACTTTGGAGTTCGGGCCCTCCCTGGTGGCGTAGAGGGATAAAGCACTGAATTGAGAAGCTAAAGCCACTTTAGCATGAGTTCTATCCCTGCCTGCGGAGATCCACATGGCGAGGCAGACCTCTCCTGACCCGCTGGCTGCTCCCCTCAGCAGTGTACTTCCTCGATCTGCCTGTTCTGCTCCCTGCTCTGTCCCTGGTGAATCCTCTCACCCTCTGCATCTCTGGCCTGTACCCAGTTCCATATGAATAAATAAATAATTAAAAAACAAAAACAAAACCAAAACTTTGGAGTTCTACAGACCACTCAATATCATCTTCTGTGCTGTGTCATAAAAAAAAAATTCTCAGCCATGTTGTGCATTTAGTCTAACCAAATTTAGTTGGCTGTTTGCCCAGTCTCGAAAATGTAATTTTCAGCAATATAACATTATCTATAATGTAATAGTAACTGGAATAAAGGTTCATTGATAGTTCAGCAAGGTTTATAAGATAATCAAGGTGAGGACTGAATCTAAGGAAGGATTCCTAAAGATTTTGTAACAGGGTGGTCCCCAGGACAAAGGGGAGGTTCCAGGTTCCCTGCCCCACCCAAGGGAGGGTGGAGCTCTGCATGGGGTTGAAGATACTGGAGAGGAGACTGAGGAAGAAGGTAGCAGGATGAGGAGTCAGAAGGAGACCTAAAGGAGGAGCACGTGTCAGACTATAAAGAAAGAACACTTGCTTTTTGAACTGTTTGAAACAGACGTGAGTGAGAGAACCATGGAGAGGTTAACGATAGCAGGTTTTACTTTGCTTTTGGTTCCCCATACTTGTCTGGTTGTTTCTGACCCTTTTCTGTGGGCCCCCATTAGAAGGTACTTTAGACTTGTGGCAGACTTTATGGCCTTGCTTTGGGCCAACCCTGTTTAGCTGGACATTTACTTGCGAGGGGATGGGTAACTTTGGGTGTTTGATTTGGAAACTATATTCTTTGTCTTTTCTGTATTGCACACTAGTTGTATTAAAATTCCTTTTCATTGCAGGTCTTAATGTCCTAGAGTATGTTTTGTCTTGTGGCAGATGGCAGAATCTTTTTAGAGCAAGCAAGCAGGTTTGGGGGTTCTGGGATGCCCCTCTTCCTGCCCTGTAATGATTTTACTTGGTAAGAACTGTTCTAATAGACAAATTTCAATTTAGCTTATATAGATGGTTATAGTGAGTCATTGACATTAAAAATGTGATTGTTTTTGATAGGGTGCTTCAGTTCTAACCTGTCCCTATCTAAAGATGTGTTGGTGCTACCTATGCACGGCATTAGAGGATTTAATCCCTCTAATGGGGGATTAAATCTGTGGCTAGTTTGCAGTGCTGCTTCCTAACCCACTGGGCCACCAGGAAGGGCCCCTAACCCTTCTCTTTTTAAAGAATGTGCTGTAGAGATGCAAAGGCTAACTACCCAGTTTTAAATCTGTATTAAACTCCTTGGTCTACAATGGGGTGTGAAAAAATAGTCTTTATCCGCATAGCTGTTTCAGACTTCAAGATCACACAACTGACTACCCTGCAGCTGACCTTGCTGTCCTCGCGACTAAAGCACTGGGGGTCCCTTTCCTAAAACATCTTTTATAGTTTTTTCTGTCCTTTGACAAGATTCCTTCACTACTACGTGGATTCGGTTTAATAAACAGCCTAATTACCATGAACCACATGGTAAACAAGTATCTTATTTTCAATGGGGGAAATCGGATCTCCAGGACTATAGTTCTTCCATGGTATAATTTGCTGTATGAACTTGACAAGTCACTTTAGTTTTGTCTTTTGGGTTTTTATCAAGATAGGATGTTAGAATTGTCAGGGAACTCAGAGATTACATAGCATGTTTTTTTCTCCACTTCATGGGGTGGCAAATGGTATATCCAAGTTGCTTTCTAGAACAAGGACCCAGTCTCTAGCATCTGAGATCAGTGCTGTTTTCATTACATCAGGTTTTCCTTCAGCGTCATTTCAAGAAGCAAGCAACAAAAGTGAAAGCACTAAACAAACAAAGTCAGATATCAGTGTAAACTAATAGCCTACACTAAGTCTAAGAGCTGTCTGAAAAATATATCCTCTCTAACTGAAAGGTGATCTAAAACTCAGAAGCTCTGAAACTATGCAAAGAAATGTCACACACACACACAGACACAGACAGACAGACAGACAGACAGACACACACACACACACACACACACACACACACACACACACACACTCAAAACAAAAACTTCAAGTCCCGAAATGCTGGATGGCTGGTGACCACTGCCTCCTGCCTCCTCTCAACAACATCCTCTTCTTTACTGGGAGTTGTAGTCATTCAAGACCGTCATTTTCCAGAATGTGGAGGAGGAAGCCTCTCTAGGGAACTACATTTCCCACAAAGCTGTGCGCCCCCTTCTCCACCCTCGCCGGCGTCGGGCTCCACCCACTCGGTTCTTCCCTCTCTGGGCTGCACCCCTCATGCCTTCCTGTTAGTCCGAGCTGGGAGAAGTTCACTCTGATCAGCTGATCCCAACTGACAACAGGAAAGGAGGAAGCCGGCGGGGCTACGGAGGAGGGGGGACGGAGATGGAGATGAGGATGGATCCACCGGTGCCCTGAGGAACAGCCCCTCTCCTCCAGCGGTTCCCCGACTGTTCCACGACGCGGCTTCGCGGCGGCCCAGCTGCCACTTGGTGGGGTCCCCGGGCCGCCGCGGGCGGGTAGGGGAGGGCACGGCCCTGCGCCTGGCGAACGATAGTCCCGGAGCTCAGACTGCCCCCGGGAGGAAGGGGGGGCTGGTGAGGCTGCGGTGGGGGTGGGGTGATATAAACAATGGATTCGTCTCCGGCCTTTACCAGCTTGGGGGGGATTTGGGGGGACCTTCTTTGTTCTTAGGCATGCTTCTGTCCCTCGGAGGTGGTGGTGTTGCCCGGGAGGGAGGGAGGGTGAGGAATCTCTGGCTGGAGGGGGGCGGCCCAAGTGGGCAGATTGTTTGGCCTGGTGGGTGGTGAGGTGTGTTCGAGGGTGGATTTTGTATTTTTCTCAGTAGTGACAAAATTTGATTTTTGTTTCCGTTTTGAGGGCTGGTTGAGTACGTCTGAGGTTAGGGTGTAAATAAGGTCTCCTAGTCACTCCCTTTTCCTTTGCCTTCCTTGTTTATCCAGAAATAAATAAGACTGATTGCTGTAGAGGGTAAGTATTGAAAGGAGGGCATTACATTTTTTTAGTGCGTTGGGGAGGGGGTCCAAGGTTAAGGTGAGTTAGGAATATATTGTAGAAGTGGAAAAAAGCCCCCTTTCCTGCGTCAGTTGTCCGTTTTCTTTTGAAATTATTTTTAAGTTAGTGTTTGAGTGGCAGTGAGAAGAATGATTTGTTTTAACTCACCGCAGGCCTGGCTCCGGGGTGGGCCATAGTGGTGGAATTCTCCTGTTGCTCCTTTTTATTTAGCAGTTACAGAAGGCACAAAAAGAAGTGTAGTGATTGTTTTTTAAACATATAATGGTGATTCTTGTTTCCAAGTTTATTTAATAGGCATCTGTCTAGAGTTGAAACAAGCCAGTTCCAAGGGTAAAAAGAGTGGCTCAGGACTTTGAGAGGCTATTGCTATTATTATTTTTTCTTTAGATTTTTCTTGCTTCTCCAAGAACTATTTGCTCAGTGATTTTGATTCTGAGTTTAATAACTGAATGAACAGAAAATTTCAATCTGGAGACTAAAGAAGTGAAGTGTCTTAAATGCTTTGGGCCTAGAGGTGGTGTTTGTTTTCAAATGTAGATATGATTTTTGAGAAGAAATTTCTAGTATTAGAATGAGCTAGTGTTAAGTTTTGCATTTAAGAATGACATTTGTCTCAGGAGTTTTGGTCTCATATTTAATCACAATATTGTTATTTTTTTAAAGGTGCACTTCTGTTTTTAGGTGAGTGAAATCCTTTTCCTTCCTTATTCTAGGTTTTCCCTGAAATATTCAGTTGAGACTGGATTATATTGAAAAGTTCCTGACCACTCTTACCAAACCTCACTGAGTCCCAACCAATGAGCCCCACCTCAATAAATCTATCAGACCTCAGATAGCCATAAAACACCCGTTCAAGTAAATTTTGACCACATTATTTGCCTGCACTTTACGGAGGGTGAAACTATTAAACCAGATCAACATTGCTGCTAATCGAGGTGTCTTGGAGGTAGAACACTAGAAACACAAACATCAGTGAGTGTGTGAACTCTAACAGGACACTGAGGTTTTTGTTTCTAAATAAGGTCTTCAGCACCTCCTGGAAGTTCTGTGTAGTCTTCAGACTAAAAGCCTTTGTCTTCAGTCTTGGGCAAAGTTCAGTGACCGTTATTTGGTAGGTGATCTCCTTACTCATCTGACTATGAGTGCCCAGACTTCCCCAGCAGAGAAGAGCCTGAACCCAGGGCTGATGTGCCAGGAAAGTTACGCTTGCAGTGGGACTGATGAAGCCGTCTTTGAGTGTGACGAGTGTTGCAGTCTGCAGTGTCTCCGCTGCGAGGAGGAGCTCCATAGGCAGGAGCGGCTGAGAAACCATGAGCGGATAAGACTCAAACCTGGCCACATTCCGTATTGTGACTCCTGCAAAGGCCCCAATGGGCACTCACCAGGGGTTAGGCAGAGGGCAGCAGTGAGGTGCCAGACCTGTAAAATCAACTTGTGCCCGGAGTGCCAGAAGCGGACTCATTCTGGGGGTAACAAGAGGAGACACCCTGTTACTGTGTATCATGTCATGAAGGCCCAGGAGTTACTGGAAGACGAGGAGATGGATGAGGAGACCAAGAGAAAGAAGATGACTGAGAAGGTTGTGAGTTTCCTCCTAGTAGATGAAAATGAAGAAATTCAGGTAAGCACTTGGCTAGTGTGGGATTCATGTGCTTGTGGAGAAGACCTGTTCTTGGGATGTAGCTTTTAAAAGGGAAGTCCAGGAGAAGCTCACATCATCCTTTTTCAAGACCGCTAAGAGCTTAGGTTGCATGGAGTCAGATTTAGTTACGTACAGGCTATGTGCTCGTGGGATGAACTGTTGATACTTCCCTGAGCCTTAGTTTGCTCATCTATAAATTGGGGACTGTCTACTTCATTGAATTGTGAGGGTGAAATAATATAGTATTTGTAGAGCCTGTTGCATAATAAATGCTCTGTTATGGTGGCTCTTCTTATTAGGGTTATTATTTGGAAAAACTGGTTTAGAGCAGTTTCTGAACTTTGGCAAGGTGTGAAATAAATGTGAGTGATGAGAGGCTGCATGTGGAGAAAAACACTGACAGTGGGTCCTTTGGGAGTGCTGGGCATGAGGTCAAAAACTGCTATCTACATTTACAGAGGTAAGTCCTTAAAAAGAAGCTTTTGATTATTATCATATCTTTCCAGATCACTTTTTATTTTCATGGGCAGGCTTCTGATCAGTAAAAGCCAGTGAAGGCATTCTGGGAAGAGGGTAGTGTGTGACAGTTAGGGACTGTTGGGGAAGGAGTAGTATATGTTTTTACTCTCTAATGAAGGAGTATAATGTCTGCATTTTCCACTGAAGTTTGCTTGAGTTCACATCTTGATGTCAACACTTTAATACACATCATTTAATAAAGTGCCTCATTTCACTTGCCCTTTATAGTAGTTGAGCAGATTCAAAGAGATCACTTATGGAAAGGACCTGTCACGGGAATCTCCATAGTGTCCACTACCAGTCTGTTGTTTTGTGGGCTTCGTGGACTTTTGTGATTCAGTACTTTTAGCAGGGATGGCTCCTCAGATTCCAGATTGGAGGAGTATCTGTGTAAGTTACTGTTTGAAAGACTTCCAGCTACCCACTAAATGCCTTTCATCTCTTTTACCTGCTTAGCTAAGCTTATGGAAATGAATTACATGATTTCAGTGCTCTCCCATTGTCAGCGAAATACTTTACCAGCATGGACCTTTCTTTATTGACCACGAGGAAGAGTGACCCAGATCCCATTCTGCCTCCCTTGTTAGAAATAATGTCTTCATTATGGATTATGCTGTAATTCAGTGGCAGTGTGGACTAAACATTTTATAAATGGAACACTTGGTTTTGGATGCTTCTTACTGGCTCTGCCAACAATTTCCTTTAATGTCAGTCTTTGGAAAGTCATACTTTGGATCGCTGTCAGTTTCATAAAAGGAGAGGAAGATTTGAGAAGAAGCAGTAACCCTCATCAATATTGTGTTGATACTAAACAAAATTTTGAGGAGAGGATGTTTTTCTTCCTTAGTATAGAATTAGGAAGATATAAGTAATAAAGAGGGCAAATCCAACCAAGATCTATTTTCTTTTCATGAGTTGTTTGTAAAGTTGTCTGTTTTTCCTCTCTTTATAAACATTGACCACTTCCCAGGATAACTGTTTAATAATTGCAATTTTTGGGTTGGGACTAATGAATCAGGGTCTTATGTGCATCTTATATCATTTTTAAGGGCATAAATACTTGTTGAATGGTTGGTGAGTCACAGTTCTACTTGAGTTTTTGTAAAGTAGCTGTCATACAGAAATGATATAGCATTTGCAATGGCCAGCATTTCCTTTGTACTTCATACCTTTGGTCTCTTTTCTTACGACAGTCTCCATTAACATTTAACTACTTGCCTTTCTAGTTTTTTTTTTTTTTTTAAATTATGTGTTTTTGTATATATCTTTATTTTCTAGTAGAGGTGGAACCCAGTACACTTGCTCTTCTGTTCTTGACTTTTCATTTAAGTATACATCTTGTAGAACTTCTTATCAACATATTTAGATGTACTTCATTATTTAAAACCTGCCCAATACTTTGTTGAATGGTTTTTCTATATTTTTAGTCTATTAGTGGATATGTTACATTAATAGAGTTACTGCAAACAAGGAAAATGAGAAGGTGTTGAAAACCTGTGAATCTGTTTAGAAATGGAATCTCTTTGTCAAGTGAAAGGAGATTTTAAGTTTAGATCGGTATTACCAGATTTCTGACTGTCATTTTCTTAGCTTCTGAAGTACTTCTGTGAGTCTCCTCTGGGTTCTAATAGCTAAAATTTAAAGAGTTCTTAGTATTAGGAATATTCTTATTTTACAATATGAGCTCATTTAATGCTGATGATAACCATATATATTAGCTTCTTATTGCTGCTGTAACAAGTTATACTTAATGGTTTTAAAACAACACAAATTTCTTTTTCAATTTGGAGATTGGAATACCTAAAATGAGTGGGTAGGGTTATATTTCTCTTGAAGACTCTAGGGAAAAACCTGTTTTCATTTTTTTTCTAGTTTCAAGAGACTTCCTGCATTTTTTGGTGCCATTATACTATTTATTTAAAGCCAGCAGTATAACATCTTCCAATCCCTCTTTCTGTCTTTCTGCTCCTGTTGTCATGTTGCTTTCTTTGGCTTTTATGCTCTTATTTCCCCTTACAATGACTCTTAGGATTACATTGGACCCACATGGATAATGCATATAGTTTCCCTACCTCAGGGACCTTAATTCAGTCACATCTTTGCCACACGAAGTGACATATTCACAGGTTCTGAGCACTAGAATGTGGATTTTTTCTTTTTAATTCAGCCTGCCACATCCTATGAAATAAGTTGTGTGTTTTTGTTTGGGCTGTTGTAACAGAATATTAGAGATTGGGTGACTTACAAACTGTTATTTCTTAACAGTTCTGGAACCTGTGAACTTCCAGATCATGGCTCTGGCAGATTACGTGTCTGATAAGGGCCTGGTTCATACATAGCTATCTTTTTGCTGTGTCCTCACATGGCAGAAGAATCATGTTGGTTTCTTTTTGGGGGGACTCTTTTTATAAGGGCAATATTTCTAGTCATTAGGACTCTGCCCTCAAGATCTAATCACTTCATAGGCTGCATCACCTTAGAGTTAATTTTAACATCAGAATTTTGAGGGGCTGCATTATATATGAGGATAGTGAAGTACCTTGCCAAGATCAAATTACATAAGTGAATGACTGTCTTGCTGTCTCTGACCAAGCCATTTAAACTTTGTTTTTTTGAAAAATTTAATACTATTATTTTAAAGGTTTACTTTTATGCATGCAAGAACTGGGGTATAAGCATAGGCCAGAGGTTTTGGGGTGAGGATTCACCAGAGACAGCATGGGGAGTAGAACGGATGGACTGACTGAAATACACTGCTGAGGGGAGCAGTGAGCGAGACAAGAGAGATCTGCCATACCATGTGGGTCACCTCCCTGGGCAGCGATCGAACTCGTGTTGCAGTGGCTGGCAATAGCTTGATAGTGTTGTATCTTTAACCCCTGTACCATCAGGAAGGCCCAAGAGATGGCTTTTTAGTGTGAAGACAAGATTGTGGTGATTGGAGGGGTGGGGTGGGCAAGAGGGAGAAAAGGGGGACTTACTTAGTAGGCTCTTAGAGAAGATGAGGTGAGAGGTGACTTAGGTTTGTTATTAACATGGAAGGATGGAAAAATATTATGAATTTGGGATGACGTCTAGATGTAAAACAAGAGTACTAATATATTGGTATGTTGGGTGCAGGGGTGAGGAATGAGAGAATTCAGTGGTGACTTCTTGGCATTTGCTTTGTGCAGGTAACAGCAGTTTAATACCCCAGATTTTACTGACTCAAATAGATAAAACTAGAAGTCAGTTTCTACAATGAAGAGGGTTAAATTGGTATCACTTGGTATTCTCCAACATAGTGGTGCTCAGCCAGGAGTGATTTTGTTCCTGCAGGGGCTAGTTGGCAATATTTGGAGACCTCCAAATATTGTTAGAAGTGGGAGTGGGAGGGATATGCTACTGGCTAAGTGGCCCGAGTGCTGCTAAATAGCTTCACAAGCATAGGGCAGTCCCCAACAGGAAGAATGACGTGATACAAAAAGTCAGTAGTGCTGAGATTGGCAAACTGCTCTAACAGATGAAGTTTTCTCTTATAGGAGGTGGGTTCCAGTGAAGTGGAAAATATATCAGGGACAAAGCATTTATGTCAGTTTTTCCTCTCTTTGGTTCTGTTTGCTTCTCAGAACTAATCTACCTGAAATCAGTTATTTTCTTTTGGCATATTTTGTAATGTCTCTACTGAATGTGTTAGATTTTCTGCAGTGTATCCATTGATTTTTTAGGCCTCAGTGGAACTGTACGTGGAAGAGCAAAGTACTTAATGAAATGATCTCCACTAACAAGTGATCTGTTATCTCTTGAAGTTAGAGATCTACTCTTTGCAAATAACTCAAAGGTTAGGAGAATAAAGTTCTAACAACTTAGCATTCTCAACAGAGGAAGAGAATAGTATTTCTGATCTATTGGATATTGTGAGATGTTCAGACAGACATCTTCTAGTCTTACCAGAATATTTACCTGTCAGGGAGAAAAAGTGAAGAAATTAAGACATTTTTCTTCATATACATATTTAAACCCCATATAAGTTTTTCTGTCACCCCCACCACCTAGTCTGTCTCCTTTCTGTGACTGCCCTGTCCAAGAGAATGCAGTAGCAAACTTGTAAGAAAGTTTCACCTTTCTGACTGACCCCTGGGAGGGATGGTAGGTGAGCCAGGGAACTTTTCAAGTCAAAGCTTCAGAGGTGAAGTCAACCCTCCAGCAAATGTTAGGGTAATGAGCAGCCCAGTGACCCACGGGTGGCCAGATGAAAAGCTTTGAAACTGTCCACTGAGGTGGGCCCTCCTTGATTCAGAAATGGGCAGTCTTTATGCCCTCTGCAGTGGGATGCCTAGGGGATCATCCCTGTTCTGCCTTCACTGAGGTTATTTCACCTCACTGAGACCGTTCCTTTAAGACCCATCATGTTGCTTGGCTGCTTTGTTTGTTTACAGTCCCAGAATAGTATGACTCAAAACACTGGGACTTGGTTTTTT